GGGGGGGGGGGGTGTCAGAAAGGTTATCTCTGATTCAAGGCCCCTAATTCAATTCTTCTAGGTACTTAAGGGAGGAACAAGTTTCTCTTGAGCCTGAAGCTAAAATTGCCATTAGCTCAAAATAAACCGCATACCACTGAGGTGCATCGTGGGGTGGCTCTGAATAAACAGCGAGCTGACCAGTTTGTTGTCAGCCCTGTGCTCAGAGGCCTGGTGGCAAGCACTTGGGGATGAAGGTGCACAGGTACAATGTCACCGAGATCAGGAGCAGTGCTGCTTGGCCTCGGGGGGCAGCCTTTCCTCTGTTCCTTTCCTGGGTTTTTGCTGAGCAGCAGTTTTCTCATCTGTGGACGAGGCTGACCCTGCTGTGCCCCTCTGGGGGAGCTTTAGAGGTAACGGCAGTGCTGTAAGTCTTCGCATTTCCCTCTTTAAAGGATCCGCTGGGTGCTCCTTCCTGGGGGCTGGAGGTACAGCAGGCTGCGACGCCTAGGAGGGAAGAGGGTACTGGGGCCCAGGAGCTGGGGCCCAGCACGGCTCTGCCCAAGCACGTGCTCACTGCTCCTCACTACATGGGGTCAGGGAAACAGCACGCTGGTAGCAGATTGGTAATTCTTGCAACTTTCAAGTTATTTTAGAAACAGTACTGCTCATGAGCCATCCCTCCTTGGGAACCAAAGTCTCGCCCCTTCCAGTGGGAACAGGACCAGGCATAACTGGAGCTCCAGCACCAGGACTCTCCGAGCAAAGTGTCCATTGTCCAGGAGGGCCCTGTGCAGAAGCCCTCCCTGTATCGTCCCATAAATGACCACTTTCCAAAGCTCTGCAGTCAGAACCTGCCCACCAGCACCTTCATATAGTAGCTTGTTCCCCAAGCCCCTAAAATTCATCCCCAAATGCTGCATGGTCTGCTTGTCTGGCTGCCTGGCAAGCCCTCTTCTCAGGGAAAGCCTGGTGCCTGGGGCTTTGGCTTGCTCTGGGCTGCCAGCTGGAGCTCACGGGCCTTTGTTTGGCCCGGGCTGGTGGGAGGGGGATGAGCCCAGGCACTGAAACAGAGCTGAGCAGATGACAGGGTGGCTGGCCTTCAAGAGAGGGGAAGGCAGACATCAACATGATGAAAACAGAAGAAACTCAAACAGCCCCTTCCCCCGGGAGGCCCCGGCAGGGCAGGCTGGGCCCTGCTGCAGGGGCCGGCTGCAGGCCAGGCGGGCAGGGGCCCCTGCGACTCGGCCCTGGAGGCCTCCCATGCTGTTAATATGTCTGAAACTTACATAAAATGCATGTTGCTTGTTGAGATCCCATGACAGACCATTTTGCAGTTCGCTTTTTTCACCTAACAACCAGTTTAATACTTTTCTGTCAGAACATGTTATGCTTCTCAAGTAATGCAGAATGAAGTTAACTAAATCCAACTAGCTAACTAAATACTCATTGATACAGTTTTAGGTTGCTTAAGAAACAAGGCAGAAATCCACACCCTTGACGTTAACTTTGTATACTTGGGTGTGTGGGAGGGAGGGTAGTTCTGAAGATAAATTCCTAGCTGTAGAAAAACGGGATAGAGGCATTTTAAGGTATAAAACTGATCTCCAAAATTATTTACTTCTGTTCCCACTGTGAGAATATGAGTTCCTTTTCTTACATTGCAATATGAGAGTGTTATTTTTTAAATTGTTACTGAAATGATTGCCATTCCTCGTACCTCACCGATGTTTTACTTTGCATTTCTCAGATAAATGACACTGAGCGTCTCTTGTACACTGCCCATTTCTGCCTGTGTGAATTGCCATGCCTTGACCATTTCTCTTGGATTTTTATTCATATTTTTACATTGAATGGTGGGTGTCTTTTTTGATGTAAGAACTCTACTTTTATGTGTGGCAAAGAGGTGCGATTCATAAGTTTTCCCCCACATGTTATGAATAACTTTATCAGTTTTAATAGTTGTGTAGTGAGAATGCATATGCCCTAGGTCCTATAGTTAACATGTTGGCAGACACGCTTTACCACAGAGCTCCGTCTGTGCATCGCTCTACCCACCCATCAACTTTTTTCATGCATTTCAAAGTAAATTGCAGCTGTGAGTATCCTTCACCCAACCACTTGAGTCTGCACATTGTTATCTAGAATTCAGTGTTTGTTTATGGTTCTTTTTGTTCTTAGGTAGATTTGCAGAGTAAAATGCACAAATCTCCAGTACACATTTGGTGAGTTTGGACAATGCATCCACCTATGTAACCCAAACTGCTATCAAAGTACAGAACATTGCCTCAGTCCTGGGAATTCTGACGGCCCCTTTTAGCCCAGGCCTGGCCCATACCTCCCAAGCAGTGTTCTGGTGTCTTGGTTTAGCTTATGCCAGAGTTTAATTTTAATGGAGCCAAAGAGTATATATGCTTTTGTATAAGAGCTCTTTCTGCCAGCACGTTGCTTTTGAGTTTCATCCATGCTATTGTATTTTAGCTCATTTCTTTTATTGTTAACTGATAGTCCATTTTACGGTTACACCAGCCATTTTTCCCATTTTCTTACTGCTGTATATTTCAGCTTACAGTTTTGGGCTATTATGAGTAGAATTGCTAAGAATATTTTTGTGAATAAGTGTTTTCATTTCTCTTGGTAAATATCTAGGAATGGAATACTGGATCAGAAAGCGTAGGCGTATGTTTAGTTTTATAAGAAACTAAACACATGTTTTCCAAAGCAGGTGGACCATTTCTATCCCCACCAAGAGTATGTGAAGGTTAATTCATACGCTTGCCAACACTTGGTGTCGTCAGTCACCAACATAACAGACAAGACTTTCAGCCGTTCTTGCAGATGTGTAGTTGTATTGCATTGTGCTTTATTTTTAATGTGTAGTTTCCTAATGACTAACAGTGTTGATGATCTTTATGTGCATCTTGCCATGTGCCTATTTGCCATTTACAAACACTGTTAGTCTCTTTGTACAAGGGGCTATCGAACTAGAGCCCACTGGTCAAGTCCAGCCATGGCATGATTTTGTAAGGCCCTTGAGCTAGCAATGTGTTTCACATTTTTAAAGGGTTGTTTTTTAAAATGCAACAGATTGTAGATAGCCTGCCAAACCTAAAATATTTATAGAAGAAATATTGCTGACCCTGCTGTGTATTTAAGGTGTGTCTTTTGTATGTAGTATATCTTTTGTATATAGTATATTGTTGGGTATTGATTTTTTATATTTTATTTTATTGATGTATTTATTTATTTAGCAGGACAAACTATTTAAGGTGTGGGGAAAATCTGTCTTAGACTCTGGACAAAGGCACTGGTATCATTAGTTTCAATCATGTACGTGGAGCTGATTTAACTTGAAATGGGTGAGGCATCACTATAGCCCTGGTGTAACCTATAGTTGAGCTTTGTCAGGGCGAATATAACAGGAGCCCTTTCAACTGAGCTTTGAACCTTCTGATGTTTCCTCAGTATTTCCTATGCCACTTGGGACCTGGAAAATATATGGGTCATCACATCTGCCCTGGACAACAATGTCTCTGGGTGGGAAGTCCATGACTCGAGTGAACTTCTCTGTTCACTGAGTGGAGAACAGACAAACCATCTCTTCACTGATGGCAAGGGACCTCCTGGGTGGCCCCTTTTAGTTCCATCCTGTATCTGCAGTGGAAAGCGGGTGCTGATCTAAGTGAACACGGGACTCTGTCTCCTTCATCTGCAGAGAGTCTCAGCTTGGTTGTTACCCTCCAAGCCACAGATATAATTCCCTTCGGGGGAAAGAGAAGTGGGTTCCCAGAGCTGGGGCTAAGGGAGCCCACCGCTGGCTCCCCGGCTGCTTTGGAAATGGCGTTTTCGGGGAAGCGAAACGGCCGCCCAGGTGTTCTGACTGGATAACCGTCCTTGCTTCCCACTTCTCGAAAATGCTCAGTTGAATATGAGACATCCTGCTGGTGGGAATCAAGATTCACGGAGAGAAGCAGATACTGCAGTGGGGCATTGCTTTTTAAAATCTATTCTAATAATCTCTGCCTTTTTGTAGAAGTTTTTAGTCCATTAACATTGGATGCAATTATTGATGTGGTTGATTCTGTGTCAACAATTTTATTTGATTTCTGTGTGTCCCTATGTTTTTATTTCTTTATTCCACTTTTCATGCTTTCTTTTAATTATTTACATATTTTAGAATACCATTATTGGTTTTTAGCTATACATTATTTTTAGTGATTACAATATACCTACTTAAAATTTTACAAACTACTTAGAATTAATATTGGGCCACTTGATAGAAGATGTAGAAACCATGTCAATGAAAAAGCCCATTTAATACCCAGTCTTTTTTGCTATCTTTACGTGTATTGTAAATGCCACATGGCAGTACTATATATTTGCTTTAAATTGTCATATATATTTTAAATGAATTAGGAGGAGAAAAATCTCTTATTTAGCAAATATTTACCATTTCTGATCCTAGTCCACCTTCTTGAGGATCTGAGTTTCCATCTAGTGTCATTTCCCTTCAGCCTGAAGAATTTCCTTCAGCATTTCTTCTAGTGTAGATCTGCTGGCAACAGAGTCTCTTCTTTTTTATGTACTTGAAAATGTCTTTATTTTTTCATATGTGAAGAATATTTTTTGCTGGTTACAGAATTCTGTGTTGGCGATTGTTTTCTTTCAATGTTTTAAAAATGCTGTTCCATGGTCTTCTGGCCCCTACAGTTTCTGATGAAAAGCCCATCCATAATTAAAATCATTCCATTGTGTGTTATATGTGTCACCGCTTTCAAGATTTTCTCTTTAACCCTGGTTTTGAGGAGCTTGACTCTGACATATGGCTTACTTTGTGTTTATTCTGCTTGGGTTTGGCTGAGCTCCCTGAAGCTATCCAGACGGGGGGGTAGTGGGCAGCTTCTGCCTAGATGGAATCACAAGGACTGTGGCTTTTTCTGTAGCGGGGAGGGGTGTGAGCGGCTTGAGTTGGTTGGAATGCAGCATGTGGAAGCAAACCTGTTTTAAATGAACTTTATTTTTATGACAACCAATTCTTAATTCAACAAGAACTTATTTGGGCATGTCCTACACACAAGAAATTGAACTAAGCATAAATAGAACAGAAAACAACCATTCCATGTCTCCAGCAAGAAGCAGCGCCCACAGTTGTCCTGCTTGGCTGGGGCAGAGGCGCCGAGCTAGGCGAGGCAGGAAGTTGCACCATCCTGCTCTGCGAGGAGGGGCCCCTGCAGTGTCTCCACATCTCGATCAGAGTATGGGGTTCGCTCAAGACTGAGGAATGAAAAAGGAAGGGGCACTGAAGCTTAGCTATGCTGTTGCCCACCCTGGGCAGCCTTTGGTTTGAAGCCAGTCAGCCTGGGGCCTGAGGGCAAAATCCCCAGGAATCCTGGTAGGTGTGGGAGAAAGAGATGCCAGGAGGCCTGCCCCAGGGCCGCCCTGTGAGCCCCCCGCCCGAACAGGCTGGAGTCTGGGTGCCGAACAAAACCTGGAGCAGGCGGCCCTGGAGTGCCACTGGCTCAGGCAGCCGCTCATATGGCAACGCTGTTGGGGATCCGGTCTGGAGACAGGTAGTAATAGGGCAGCTTCTTGTTCTTGTTGCGCTCGGCAATCACGCTGACGATGGCGTCCAGGTTCTTGCGGAATCGGGTCATGGCCTCCTTGACTGGTTTCTCTATGAAATGCTCCTCTGGGTACATGCCCAGGAACAGCTGAGAGCCCAGACAGACGGACATTCAGGTTAATCAGCAATGCAGCCATTTAATTGTCAGGCCTCATCCCACCCATAGAGATCGTCCCTTGGTGGTCATCCTCTGCTGCTGCTGAGAATGTGGTGACTGCAGATATCACCTGTCACCTGGCTTTCCCTGAGGGTGGGGTTGGGGGTTACAGACAGATGGGAGACATAACTGCCCCTCTTGGGGGGGCTATGAGGACAGGTGATGGTGCAGGTAAATGTGGAGGCTGTTGGTCCCAGCACCTAGCCGTGGACTCCTGCTGGGCCCCATGCTGCTAGCATCCCCTCCCCCCTCCACCTTCCCATCTCAGCTCCAGGCAACCGGCAGCGGGACCAGCACTGGCCTCCTCCGCCCTGTTGACGTGGCGTGCTCATTTGTACACTCACGCAGACATTTGCAAATTAAAACTAGATCGTGGGAGAAGCATCACAGGCTATTGATTGGATTTGGGGTTTAGTCTGTGGAGGGCAGTTCAGACTCAACATTCTTTGACCAAGAAACTCCCCTACTAGGAGTGTCTTCTCTCGTCCTACTGAACACGTGCAAAGACACGAATCCAAAGATGTTAGCGAGGGACCAACACACTAGCAAATGCCCCAGAGTAACTTAAACGCCCATGGTTCTGGGCCTGGGCCTGGTACAGTCATTCTGCGCAGCACCGAGCCAATGCCCAGGGTTGTGTCTGCTGAGACACCCAGCTTTGGGACCAGGCTAAGCAAGATGTAAGTGCATGGAAATGCCTGGAAGGATACTCAGGAAACTCTTAGTTGTTGTCTCTGGGGTGCCAGGGAGAAACCCGCATGAGAGAGCTTTGTCCACAGCTGGGTGGGGGCCCCTGTGGGGAAGGTCACCATGGTGCAGAGTCCCCTCTGCTCTCCTGCCCCAGCCACCCTGAGATCCCCAAGCCTCAGGCCTGAGGACCCTGTGGGCCACTTCTGCCTGGGAAGTCAGGATTCCTGAGTCCTGAATCACAAAACCCCGTGGCTGAGGAGTGGGTTACACCTGGGTGACCTGCCCACCAGAGGGGCACATGGCCTCACCTCATTTTCTTGAAACTGGCTCAGCGCCCACACTGCGCCCAGATGCCAGCAGGAGCGGCCTCGGTCTGGCAGTGTTTCCACAATCTGCTCAATGGTGACCACACCCTTTGCCGTGGGTGGCGGGGCTCGCATGGTTGGGGGGGCATTGGGGATCCAGGAACACCAGTCATACTGCAGGGAGAGCCACAGACACACAGTCCAGCCGCTGCCTACTGTGTTTCCCGCCTCCCACCTGTGCACCCATCCCCCTCCAACAGGGCCCCAGCAGTGGGCCACAGCCCCTTGCTCGGGGCCTCTGCTAAGCAGGCAGAACCCTCAGTGGGAACGCCAGATTCGGGCTCTGAGGTCGCCTAAGGTCCTCCTGGCTTCCTCTAGCTGACTGGCTGGTCGGAGGTGAGGCAGCCTCAACCTGTGGGTCAGTAGCCGTCAAGATCAAGGTGACCTCGGTGATTTCCTACCTGGAGGACTCGCCCTGCCCTTGCCCACCTGGCCGAAGTTCACTGCTGCATGCTGGGCTGAGGCCGTGAAGATCACCACCGTCAGGTACTCAGACAGCTTCTCCCTGGTCTTGACGGACTTGGGGAAACCTAAGGCGGAGCCAGAGGCTGGCTAAGGAGGGACACGTGGCCAGCAGAGGCCCACTCCCACCCCCAGCCTTCCCTGGGGCACCCCCACACCAGTGCTGAAGGGACCCATATGGGCAAGACACACTGGGAGGGGACAGCGGCTTGGTCCAGTGTCCTGGTGTTTCTGACCCAGGCTATCAGGGTCACAGAGTCTCTGATATGTCCTCATGAAGCACCCTGGTGGCCAGGGGTCCCTTGGGGACTGTGGCCCCAGCATCAGGTGTTAAAGTGAATGGCACAGGCCAGTGTTGCCCAGGGAAACTGAGAGGTGCAGGGCAGAGCAGAGGAGAGGCCTGGAGGAGAGCAGGGAGCGGCCCCTACCTGACGCCTTCTTGCCCCGCATGCCGTACACATACACGTCCTTCACGAAGTCCTGCAGCTCCTGGTCCTCCACCACCACCTGGTCGCTCTCGTAGTAGATGTCCACCACGTCGGCTGTGAACCTGGCTCAGGAGGAGGGGCCCAGCCGGGAGTGGGTGATCCAGTGGGGTCCACAGAGCTGGGCCCCCGGGCCCCAAGGCAGGACCCCATCAATGACCCTGTCGCTTACCCCTTAATGTCCAGGTCATTAAGGTCACCCCATCCCTGTACACCCCCTTTTCTCCACCAGTTCCCTGACAGCAAAGCCAGGCCCCTGGCTGCCCAGGTCAGCTGTGCAGGCTCCTGGCTGGGTCCCTCAGTGCCCATGTCCACTCCCCCTCCAGGGCATCCACTTTGGCCACACAGTGGGTCCCACGGCCCTCATGCACTCACGCCTTGATAGCGTCCCACACCAGGAGCCCGTCATCCCGGTAGAAGTAGTAGGGGATGTCCTCGGTGCTGTCCATGCCCCGGGCCTTGATGGCCTCAGGGAAGCACAGGGAGGTGTAGGTAAGGTCCTGCATGGCCTTCTGCACCATCTGCACGTGCCCGCCACCCCCTGTGGCGTTGGCCTTGAGTGGGAGGGAAGAGAGAGTGCTGTGAACCGAGGCCAGCTCCCCTCCAGCGTCCAGCCCCAGAGCTCAGGCGCGCCGAGGGCCACGTGGGAGGGATGTTCAACCGGGACAGTGCAGCGCAGACAATGAAGGGGCCACGGGGAGGAGCCTCTGCCCGATCTAACGCACGGTTGAGCTGGACAGGTGTGTGCAGAGCCTGGGGCAGCTGCCGGGGGGAGGCGAGCTCCACCCTGAGGGGGGCAGTGGGCACAGCCGGCAGAGGGGCACCTGGGCTGCTGCCCCGTGCCTGCTCTCGTTCTGAGCACAGGCTGCCCGGAGTTTGAGTGCTGCTGTCAGTGACCAACCTTTGGAGGAAACCAAGGAGCAGATACCAGCCCCCAGGACCTACGACTCTGAGGAGGGCCTGAAGTGCAAGGAGGGATTGGTCCTGCCAGCGGCTGAGATACAGGTGCAGGTGCTCTTGGGCTGGCGTGTGCTTGCACACACACACGTACACACACGCACACAGACACGCACACACACACACGCACACGGGGGGGCAGTCAGGCCACAGAGTCTTTCAAGGAGGACTAGGGTGCCCGGGTGCCAGACATGCATCCCCAGGGGTCCTTTGACCCAGGTGGGACTGGTCAGAGTTGTTCCCGGTACTGTTTGGAAGGTAGATGAGCTCACTGCATGGAAACAGGGGCCTGCAGCTCCCCGTGATGCCCCCTCCCCCCCGGGGAGGCCTCTTTGGTGGAACGAGGCCAGTACAGTGTAGAGAGAGGAGGCGTGGGAGCCAGAGTGCGGGACCCGGGGACACTGGGTCCACTTTGGTCGGAGGTTCCCTCACCCCTACATGTCCAGGTATATGAGACAGTCCATTTCCTTTCCAGCTTCCTCTGGTGTGAGTTGGGTTTTGTCTTTTGCAACCCAAACAGTGGCTCAGCCTTAGTGATCCATCTGGCTGCTGGCTGATGGGAGGTGGGAAGGAGGGAGGTCGGGGTGAGGGCTGCAGGTTGGGGAGAGGATGGGGAGAATCTGGGCTTGGTAAGATACGGGGGGTCAAAACAGAGCGGGGTGCTGCCTGAGGGAACGAGTAGGGACCAACGCCCGCTGGGGAGGAAAATGGGTTGGGAGCACTGATGGCCTGGAAGGACAGAGGGTGGGAGGCTGTGTTCAGAGCCATGAGCAGCAGAGTGGGAAGGGGACACCCAGGTCCCTAGTGCATAAGAGGTGAGGAGTGGGTGCCAGGAGGCAGGTTCTCTGCACCCACATGCCAGAAGATGAAGAGGGTAGGGGTGGAAGAGGTGACAGGAGACAGGTGAGGAGGAAGAACTGCTGGCTGCGGGCAATGCACTCAGAAGAAGAGAGCTCGGCCAGTGGCCAGGTGGAGGGGCCGGAGACTGGCCACAGAGCCTGGGGAGCCCTCACTCTGCTCGCCTGGCCTCCTGAGAGGACATCTGTGCAGGTTTTGAGAAGTGGGTGCCCACCAGGCTGGGGTCTGCCCTGCATGGAACAGGGAGGGAGGCACCCACCTTGTCAAAGAGGCCGTACTCGCAGATGAGCTGCTCACGGGCCTTGGTGTTGATGGCGATGGTGAACCGCACGTGTGCCACCAGGAGCTGGGCGGAGGAGCCAGAGAAAGCATCAGGGAAGGTGGCCAGGGCCCCTGACAGGCCTGCATCTCCTCTGGAGCCCCCCGGACCCTCAGATCTCCATCCAGTCCACCATGGTGCTGGAGCTCAGGGAGGAGATGCAGATTGGCACGCTGGTCCTCCCGCCGACAAGCTGCTGGACGTCTGGGGCGCAGCTCTGATGCTCAGCGATGGTGATAATAATAAAAGTTGACACAGCCAACGCTTGTGCAGAGCTTATCTACGTGCCAGGCACTGCTTTACGCTCTCTACATGTGTTAGCTATTGTCATTCTGACAATAACCTTATGGGGCAGGTGCACTATTTGATCTTTGATACATAGATGGGGAAACTGGGGCACATGGAAATATTTTTGCCTGCAGTCACCCCAACAGTCAGTGCTGACAGGAATCAGGAAGAGAGAGGGGCCATGACAGCGGGGCTGCCACCTGGGCTCAGGTAAGGGTCATGCTGAACTAAGTTGCTTCTTCAACTTGGTTCTCCCCCCTCAGGCCACCATGGGGTCAGGCCCCAGGCCCTGTGTCCTCAGGAACCAGCGGGATTCAGCAGGCATTTCTGCCCCCTGAACACCTCTCCAGGGTCTGTGTCTGCTGGCCCTCCCAGCCACGGTCCTGCCCTCCCACCTGATCCCTCCATATCCAGAAACCTCCCCCACTGGGTGAAGCAACAGCTTGTCGTACCTTAAAAATGGGGTGCACAGCGGGCAGCTGGCGGTACATGGCGATGCCGAAGACTTCGGACACCAGGTGTGTGCGCAGGAGGTGAGTGATGGTCTGGTGGACGTGGAAGTCACAGGAGCGCACCCAGATTTTGGCCAGAAGCCAGTCATATTTTGCATCGGAAGGAAGGAAAATGGGGTTTTCGTCTCCTGGGACTTGGTTGAGCTGGTACATAGAAGAGAGAAAATACGCTCGGTCTTCCACCCCAGACCAGAGCTCCAGGAGAGCCTGGCCGCTGAGGAAATTCCAGAAAACTGCAGATTTCTTAAACAGCGACTTCTGAATCATGGGAAGATCATGGGGGAGGGCAGGTGGCCCAGGGTTTGTGTTCCCATCCCAGCTACATCGCTGACTACCTGTGGGACCCTGGAAACTTACTGAGACTTTCTGAGCTCCGCTGTCACCATCTGGAATAAGGGGCCTTTATTTGCTCAGCTCCCAGAGCCATCGTGGGCCGTGAATAAGAGGGCATGACTGCGTCAGCAGGACGTGAGTGCCTTAGGTGCTCAGGGCACATGCTGTGGTCTCCCCCCGCCCCCGCCCCCTCTTGCCTTCTCCACCCTGCACACTCCCCACTCGTTCTGGCTGCCTTTGGTCTCTGGCTCTTTCCCTTCCTCTGCTCTTCTGTTAAATGGTGCTTGTCCCCAGGCTCTGCTTCAGTGCTCCTGACTCCCTGCTTCCCTGACTAGCTCCTCCAGTTCCCAGGTCACTGCCCCTCTAGCCCAGACCTGCGGCAGGTGCCTCCCTAGTAGAGACCAGGCTGTCTTCCCTCTCCAGATGCAACTCCACACTGGGCCAAGGTGAAATTTCTTCTAAAATGGAAATCATGTCATGCCAGCCCCTTCTTTTAAAATACTCAGTCACCTCGTAATGCCTGAAAAGAAAGCCCCAAACTCCATGGTCTGGCCACTGACAGCGGGTCCCTCCCTGCATTCCTCCCCACTCAGCAAGTCCTGGTCCTTTGCTTTGCTCATGCCCATAGTCACTGGCATTCATCACTCTGGCTCAGCTTTGGGACCCCACAGCGTGATGTCAGGTGCATCTGCAAGGTATGCGCCCTCATGACCCCCTCTTTCAGAGGAGAACACAGCGTCTTGGAGCGGGGGACATTCATGATGACAATGAGTTATCCCGACCAGGGTGGGGAAGTGGCATTCCAGCTGCAGGAGCAGGTGAGGGCTGGGGCTGCACTGGGCGATGGGCGGCAGGCCCTTCGGAGCTCAGTGCAGCTACAGCAGGTGACCATGGAGAGCTTCCTGGGGGTGGGGTGGAGCCCGAGTGGGCCCCTCAAGGTCATACTAAAGGTTTTGGAAGGTAATTTCCCTGTCTCTCTCTCAAAAACAGTAGTGTCCAATAGAGATATAATGCAAGCCACATATAGAATTTTAAATTTTCAGGCAGTCACAGTAATAAAAGTAAAAAGAAACAGGTGAAGTTTATGTTAGTGATATAATTTTATTTTACCTAATATATCTAAAATTTCAACATAAAAATAATATAAAATTATTGAGATATTTACATTCTTTATATGGATATTATATTTTATTGTTAGCATGGAGAAAAGCTAATGGTGTTTTTGAGGAGTATATTTATTGACACCTTGTTAAATTAACGTTAATTCTAGTAGCTTTATAAAAAATTTGAGTCTCTTAGGTTTTCTAGGTCCACCATCAATCATATCATTACCAAAATATAGTCTTTTCTATTTTCTCACATGTTTATTATTTTCTTGTTTATTACATCCAGGACAATGCTGAATAACAATGGTGATATCAGCATTCTTGGATTTAAAAAAAAATTTATTGAATTTATTGGGTGACATTGGTTAATAAAATCATATAGGTTTCAGGTGTACAACTCTGTAATGCATCATCTGTACGTTGTATTGTGTGTTCACTGCCCCTAGTCAAGTCTCCTCCATCACCATTTATCCTCCCTGGCCCCCTTCTACCTCCCACACCATCCCTTTCCCCCTGGAAATCACCATTGTGTTGTCTGGGTCTACCGCTTTTCTTTTTCTTTGCTTAATCCTGTCACCTTTTGCACCCAGACCCTCAGACCCCTCCCCCTCTCTGTATCTATGAGTCAGTTTCTATTTGATTAGTTTAACTATTTTGTTCATTAAGCATTCTTGTTTCTGATTTTAATGAGAATGGCCATAGGATTGCTATTTTTGAATTATATTTCCTGACTTTATCATATGGAATTAATTTCCTTCTATTATTATTTTAATTTTTATGAGTTGTGGCTACTGAATGTTAGTAAATCTCCTTTCAGTTTCAATTTATACAGCCAGAAGAATTTCCTTATCGGTGTAGTGAGTTATGCTGATAGTTTTCCTGCTCTGGAGGCATCCGGAATAAACTCCACCTGGCTGTGACATATGAGCCATTTCTTACACTGCTGCACTCACTTTGCTAATTTCCAGAGCCCTCTTAAAATCCGCAAGTGTAATGCGGAGTGGGCGGCAGCCTCGGAGCCGCCCGTCAGTGTCAGCGCAGGTTGTGCCCGCTTCCCAGAATGGCCTGTGGGGGGCGGTATGCCCCCGAGAGCTCGGGAAATGTCTCTTTTTTCTTTATGCCCAATCTTGTATATTTTTGCTCTTTTTTACTTTTTCATTGGCCTCTTGAGGGGGTATTTTCTTGGGCCCTTTTCAGAACCAGATTTTGAATCTTTTCTCCTCTGGCCTTCATTTGCATGGTTCTTTATAATTTGGAAAGTCTCCATTTTCAGGAGAAGGAAGACATTCAGGAACATTCTGTGACTTGCCCAAGGTCTCATGGTCTGTAAGTCCCAGCAGAGCTGGGACTCAGGCCCCTGACCCCAGGCTACCCCCTGGGGGACAGGCTGCTGCAGAGGCACCGGCTGGTGGGACGTGTCCTCCCCTCCTAGCTGCTGATCCCTCTGTCATCACCTGTCCCTTAACAGGTGCACAGGGCTTCTCTCTAACAGGCTGGGGCTCTCCTGAGGAGCCGCGCCCCAGGGACTGGGAGACCAGGGTCGAGGGGGGAGGTTCGGGGGGAGTACAGACTCTAGACGGCCTGACCTGAGTCCCAGCTTTGTCACTGACTGTGCGCACCTGTGCCTCGGTTTCCCTCTGAGGAAAGTGGTCCCTAGCGATAGTGTCCGCCTACCTTGAGGGACTGTAGTGACGGTTACATGAATAGAGGCAGGTCCTTCCTGGAAACCCTGGTGGCTAAATGTTTCGGCATCCAGGATTTCAAGGACTTTAGCAGTGCGCGTGCTTCATTGTGTGGCACCTTTCTCTCCCACCTGGGTCTGGGCAACATAATATTTTACAGTCGAACATATTAGTGTTCCTGCAGAAGTGAATTTCACACCGAAGGGGATGAAGCCTCAGTAGCCTCTCCTTTTGGTTCAGAGCAAGTTTTTCTCCCAACAAATTTGCTGCCAATTTTTGATGAACCTAGCAGTGTTAGAACTTTTTAGATTTCAGAGTTGAGGGTAAGGGATTGCGGACCGCAGGGGTGAACCCTTAGGGACAGCCTTGGCATGTGGTTAGCACCTGGCAAAATCAGCGGCTGTTATGTCTCTAGCACCCAATGCCTGGCTCACGGTTGGCTCAAAGTGCTGCTTGCTGTTTGCTGTCTGCCTGTCGGCCACGGGCCCCTGTGCAGACCACCCAAGGGCCTCTGCCTGGTCCTGCCCGGGTGTTGTTTCCTGTCTGCACCCCAGCTCCTACGCGTCGCAGCATCCTGGTGCTCTGAGGAAGCAGGGGCAGCCAGGAAAGGGGGGAAATGAGACTCTGCCCCCGCCTGCCTCTCCCCCTCTCTCCTCTTCCACTGTCCTTGGTGGAGACAACAGCCCATGGGCACTGGAAGGCGGCCTCCTGGGACTGGCCCAGCTCCTGGCCCAGCCTCCACGCTGCCTCTCGGTGCCTCAGTCTCCTGCTCATGTCATAGCTTCAGCTGCTTGGCCCCTGCTGGCATTTTGATTGGGGGCCGCTGTCCATGTTTTGGGCAAAGTATGTTATCCCAGGGCGGCTCCTCTGCGAGCACCTTGCCTTGCCAGGGTTTCTCAAGTGTGTCTCGGGGAGGGGAGCCCTTTCTGCCCCTGTGGACAGCCCTCCCCACAGCGGGCAGGAAGCCCTAGGTTCCTGTCTGCCTGGTAAAGCTTTCAGCACCCTCCTTAGGAGACGCAAGGCAGAGCTGCCCCCTCCTCCTGGAGGCTCGGGTGAGGCACCCAAGACAGTTCCCCCCTGAACACTGTCGGCCGAGGGTGCAGCCACCCAGGGAGATAACAAGGCCGGCAGCCTACCTGGATGGCAATGGGGGTCATCTTGTTGGCCAGGTTCTTGTACAGCAGGCAGATGGGTGCGGCCAGGAACTGCAGCGTGCAGGGGTCTGTCTTGTTGGCATCGACGCCATCCAGCAGCTCAAAGTCCACGATGAAGATGTTCCCTTGCTGCAGGAAGCAAGAGGAAATGTGTCCAAACCAGTGTCAGCTGGAGCCGGTCCCTGGCACGAGGCCCAGGGGCGGGGCAGCAGCTGAGGGGCCCCGGCAGCGCAGCGACAGCTCAGAGTTGTAGCTCTTTGGTTTCCCCACTCGGAGGCTGATTCACCGCAAGTTTTCAGGTTGCAGACGGTTCCCCTGGAGGGAAGGAACGACAGTGGCCCGTTTTGCATTTGCCTACCTGAAATCTGCTTGGCCTTTATGAAAGATGTGGAAGGACCACCCAGAGTGACATTTTAATAAGAAAGCAGATAGAGTTAAATGGAATGAAGACTAATCAAGTAGCAAAGAGTGTCACTGTAGGACTCCAGTTACAGCAAGTTCAACACTAGGCGGACTCCACTGTCGGTTTTGGTGGGTTGCCCTTGGGAGGGAGCAGGAAAGGGGCGGGTCTTTGGGGCTGGGAGGTTCGCAGGGGGGTTCTGTAGCCGTGGGGTCTACAGAGGCAGGCAGGGATCTACAGGGTCCTCGGGTGGGGTGCTCTTCTGGAGCAGGGAGACGCTGTGGGGGCTGGGGTTGCCTGCAGGAGCGGTGAGCTCTGTGTCGGCGTCAGAGCTGGTGGCACAGTGGGGAGGGCCGCTTGGTGCAAGTTCATCGAGCTTGCTGGCGCTCCTGACCCTCGCCCCCTCTGTAGTTGTGATGTTCCACTACAGGACAAATGTGCCTGGGGTGTGGGGAAGGTGGAGAACTGCCCTTTCCAGACGATGCTGCGTGCTCTAGCAGGATTCGGCCTGCGTGCCCGAGCTTCCTTTGTGCGGTCGGGCCAGCTTGGGCCAGAACTTGGAGTTTGGGGAGAGGGGAGAGGGCAAGCTTTGCTTCTTAAGCCGTGTGTGTGTGTGTGTGTGTGTGTGTGCGCGCGCGCCAGGTGTACAGCACAGTGGTTAGACATTTATATGAATAGTTACTACAATGTCCCTGACCATGTTCCCTCTGCGTGCTCCACATCCCGGGACTGTGCTGTAGTGGCCTTTCCTGTTTTGAGTGCGTGATGGAGGCAGGAGTTGCGGGCAGCTGGGGAAGGGGTGGGTGGGTGGCTACCTTGTGGCACAGACAGGTCAGCAGGAGCTTAGAGGAGTTGCTTGTCCACAGCTCTGCCTGCTGAGGGCCCAGCGTCCACTGTGTGCCCTTCAGGATCCTGGCTGAGGGTACCAAGGGCCAGAGAGCTACAGCCCAGCTACGACCCTCCTCCACTGTGAACGCAAAGGACCCCGCAGGCATGCAACACCAGCCCTGCGCTCTGAGCACCTGCTTGCAGTGCGTGCGGGGCTGGGGTGCGACAGTGTGGGGGTCGTGCCTCGGCCACCCAGTGCAGAGGGAGGTCTCGGAAGGGTGTGTGATGGGACTCCTGAGGACACCTCGAAAGAAGGTAGAGACACGCGGGCTGGTGGGTCACAGGGCTGTCTGGGCTTCTGTGATGGGCTGGACAACCAGCCTTTCGAAGCAGACGTGACCATCAGTGACTGCTGCACAGAAGGGACGGCTGCCAATCCAACCGTGAGAGGACCCAGGTTGCTTACATGATGGATGACAGGCTAAAGGGGGGGAGGCCCTGAGAACCCAGGCCTGGGCACCAGGAGGCCTGGGATGTGGGCCTGCGGCAAGGGTATTGTTCATCCTTCTGGGAAGTGAGGGAGCCAGCCCTGTCTCAGTTCTGACCTTCTAGGCTCCTGCTGTAGACACTGGTGCTCTCGCCTGCCCAGTGTCTGTCCTCTCCGTTTGGCCCTGGTGATTGGTTCAGGGAATTAAGAACTGTGCGGTCAGCGGTGGGGTGGAGCGTGTGTATGACCCTAGTCAATGGTGGCTATTAGATTACTGAGTGGGAACAACCACAGCTGAGTGTCCAGACCATTGGACAAAGATGGCTACAGCCCACCTGCCCTGGAGGCAGCAGGGGCCGGGAGCAGAGGCAGTCCCCTTCAGGATGACTGCTCTGTGCCTCCCAGTTCTAGGCTTTCAAGGTTCTGTGATTCTCTGGTGGGAAGTCTGAAACCTGCAGCACTGACTCAGTGTTAGCACACCCAGCAGTCGTTCTGCGGAGGGCAGCTGCCGTGTGTGCTGCCTGCAGGGGCACGTGCTGCTCAGCCACCCCCTGACCAGGCGTGTCCGGGGCTGGGCAGCTCCAGGTGGCTGGGACTGCCTGCCTGGGGCAGGGGCCTTTCCTGGGACTCATCTGGGAAGGCAGATCCAGAGTCAGGTGGGCAGGCCGTGGGGCTGGCAGATCTGTCTGCAGATGGTGCTGACCATCCCTCTTCGGCTGGGGCCCCAAGGCAAGCCGAGCAAGTGAGACAGGATGACTGGAAACAGCAGAAGGCCACCTAGTCACCTGGGGCAGATGCTGGGAGGCTCAGTAGTCCTGGTTCTAGGGGGAAGAGGTCCACTGATGGGAGACTCAGGGCCATTCCTGGGGCCTCAGTCCCCAGCATGGAAAGTGCCTGACGCTGAGTCCCACAGACCCACAGCACGGGAGTTTGAAGCCTCCCTTTCTCAAGACTAGGCCTGTGTTGGGACTGAAGAGGCCATGCAGGGGATGGCTAGAAGAAGGGCTGGGAGAGGCTGGGGGCTGAAGCAGGGGACACCGACGTTTCAAATTAGAAAGTCAAACATCCACCAGTTTTCTCCCTTTTGTTCTGCTGCAGGCCTCTTCCTTTTACCAGTTTCCTCACCTGTGCAAGGTGGGTGACAGTCCCACAGTGCCTGAAGGCATCTTACCACGCCTGGCCCACAACAGGCCCTAGGCAGGGGGCCTCTGAATTGTTGATACAGACACTGAAAGTATTGACGTTATGTTCCTGGACCCAAGCATCACGGAGCGATGCCCCGTCAATTCCTCGTCCCACAACAGCTGAGACCAATCCTGTGAATGCCCAGGGGAAGGAAGAAGCTGCTCCGCCAGCCTGAAGGTGGCGGCCTGGGGCCAGCAAGCACTGGCCAACGGGACATGATTTCTGCCCAGCAGAGCGTGGCCTGGCCATCCAAGCTGGGCCTCTGGCCTGCACCACTGTCCCCAGCCACCCAGGCCCTACCTCGACCTCCTGCTCCAGAGTGAGCTGCCGCTCCAGGCTGCACTCCACCATCTCCGTGGTCACTGGCAGCTTCTCGGGCAGCTTGGTGCAGCGCTGGATCAGCACGGGGTTGCAGCCGTTCAGGAACTGGTAGCCGAACATGAGGTCTTCCTGCCAGTGGTTCATGACCCGCTCTGTGGAGGAGGGAATCGCTGCGGCCTGAGACCGCAGTGGGGGCAGCCTGGCCCTGCGGGGGCCCCTCTCCCAGGCACTCCCTAGACAGCTGGCTGGCCACGGGCTCCACCTGTCATTTCCAGCTGCCTGTCCCCCTGCCTATCACTGGGTCAGGCCATGGCACCATCCTGTCCTCCATGAGCTGGCCCTTAGAAGGCTCCTGGGGCACTCTTTTCTCAAGTACAAAATTTAAAAAGGCAAATGGGATATTGCATTAAACTAAAAACATGTACATAGCAACGGAAACAATCAAGAGTGAAAGGCAACCTACAGAACGGGAGAAAATGTTTGCAAAACATATATATATCAATGAGGGGTTAGTGTACAAACTAGGTAAGGACTCCTACAACTTAACAACAAAAAACTAACAGCTCAGTTAAAAAATGGGCAAAGGACTTGAACAGACATTTCTCCAAAGAAGACACACAAGTGGCCAGCAGGTGTACGAAAAAATGCTCAGTGCCACTAACCATCAGGGAAACGCAAATCAGAACGACTTCACACCTGTCAGGACGGCTGTTACAGAAGACGAACGACAAAAGGCAGCCGGGGACGATGGGGAGCAATGGGAACCCTGTGCACTGTCGGTAGGAACACAGAATGCGCACCCGTGTGGAACCCGTGTGTGCGGGGGGGCCTGGGCAATGGGGAGGCTGGGCAGCGGGTCTGGCGGGCAGCCCTTCCCAATGCCCGGCCAGTCTCTCCGGCCCCACGAGAGCCCCACGGGCACACTCACCAGAAATAGTGTTGCTGATCTTCACGAAGATTTTTTCGAAGTCAGCAAAGTCGCTCCAGGATGACTGGAACATGTGCATGAAGCGGTTGATGAACAGGTTCTCCATCCTGCGCAAAGGGGGACAGCATCACCCTCGCGAGCCGGGCGCGGCCCCCTCCGCACAGCCCCTTCTCACCCTGGTCCTGTGGAGCCTCTACAACCCACCAGGCAGCGGAGACCTGAGCCCAGGGCAGCTCCTGGCAGCAGCTGACCGGCCCGTGGAACCAGGACAGAAACCGGCACCCACGCCGATGCGGTCCTCCCGCACCTCCCCAGTGAAGGAGAGGGCAGCCTGCCATTGACGGCAGCTGCAGTGCCCTTCACCCCGCGCACGCCCCTCCGTCCAGGCATCCGTGCACCCGTGCATCCATTCATTCTCAGTGCAAGCGTCCAGGGCAGGAGGCCACATCGCCTATGCAGCTGCTCTACCGAGGCTCCTGGATTTGGGGCACTAAGGATTTCAGTTGACTTTAACCCTCACTTACTTTCTACCTGACCCTGGCTCTGTGCCTGGTGCCGAGGACGACAGTTTCCGAACGCACATTGCACAGGCTAACAAAATAACCCAGGACAGGAGCTTGATAAATTCCAAGTGCAGACTGTAGGCGATAAGGAGCGAGATCTGAGTGTCCTGAGCAATCCTAGGGGCTTCCTGGAGGAGGCAGGCCTGGGAAAGTGGAGAGGAAGGAAGAGGCTTCCCAGGCTTCCCTAGAGATCCCAAGCAAGGCACAGAAGAGAGGTTTGAGAGTTCTGGCCCTTGCTCACTGTTACCCACTCTGCCTCAGTTTCTCCCTCTGGCACACATAGCAGAGAGTGACAAGCAGGTCCCTATTTCCCTCCCTCTGACAGCGCTTGCTCCCCACGCCTCCAGTATCCAGGCCTCCAAATGCTCTGTCTTCTGTACGTCCTGACTCAAGGGCCTTGCACGTGCCAGTTGCCCTGCATCCCTCTGTCTTCTGCTCCTGAGTGTGTGGGGTGAGTGTATCCTGAAGGTGCGCCCATTGTACCCCAGTCCTCCTTCAGTGTCAGGGAAGCTTCCCCTTCTCCAGGCCAGGCTGGCCCTGTGACGCTGTCTCGGGGGCACTGATGGCAGGTTCCATACAGACCCGTCTGTGTGAGCCGCCTGTTGCCGTAGCGCAAGGCTGGTCTGCATGGCTCAGGGCCGAGCCTGGGCCCCCTGGCACGAGAGGGGCCCAAGCAGCACTGAGCGTGGTCTGAGAGGGGTGGCAGATGCCTGGGGCAGGGGACCATGCCAGAGGTGCTCCTTCAGTGGGCTCCTCTTCCTGCCCCACCCCAAAGTGCCAGGCAGAGCCGGTCCCCTCCCTGAAGAAGCAGCCCTGCTGGAGAGGGCCCGGCAACCCCAGGACTCTCGCCGTGGGCTTTGGCTGAGCAGTGTCACGGGAGGGTCTGAGAGCCCCGGAGCCTCCTCATGCTCTCCCCGACCAGCGAATGGAAGCACTGAGGTTGGAACGTTTTATCCAGAGTGCAGCTGGCTGATCGGGACAGAGGCCTCTGCCATCCCAGGAAGCCACCTGTGAGCACGCATAAAGGCGACAAGTCCGGGTGCCCGCAGGGAGGGAGTCGGCTGAGGACCGGAGACGCTGGGCCCCTCCTGGCTCTGCCGGACAGGGCGGGCCTCAGACAAAGCCCCGCACGCCCCCTCGCGGCTCCCATTCTGGGTCTACCTCAGTTTAGCGAATGCTTTCCCTGCGGACCGATTGCCCTGGGACCCTAAGAGCCACGTTGCTCAGGGGAGGGCCCTGGGCCTCTGTGAGCCTCGATTTCTCCTCAGGCTGCCTGCAGGTCATTGAGACGCCGTGACGCCTGGAAGGGTTTGGAGCAGCCCGGCAGCGGCGGCCCCACGGTCAGCTCAGCCCCTGGGGGCTGGGGAATGACCCGGCGGCGTCCTTCAGTCTCTGGCTGGTGTCCTCACCACCGTGATCCCAGCCCCTCACTGGGAAGGAAAAGCTCTGACACCCCTGCCTGTCCCACCCCCTG